CTCTCTTTGCAAACACTGAATTCAGATTTTGCATACAATTGTTTTAAAATACCTGTTTTAGTATCAAGTTTATAAAAGCCATCCTCTGTTTTACTAAGAACCACAGCTAAAATTGAACGTCCATCACTTTTTGCTCTGTCTTCTTCGAGTACTATAATTCTCACAACGAAACCTTCAACGAAACCTTCATCAACGTTTGGGTGCTTTGCATTAGAAACTGCTAACATTTTCTTTGTTCGCTTTTCTAAACATTCCTTGGCTTCATCACGCTGTATTTTCTGATCCATATTCTTTTTACAGATGATGCACAATACATTCTTACCATACCCTTCTTCTTTAGGATCTACTTCACCACAAACTGCGTGAACAAACATATTACACGATTTACACTTGTGAGCACTTGATGCTGCTTTTGAGCAAACAATACAGACTATGTCTTGTATAGTGCTCTTTACAGGCTCTGTACGAAACTGTGATGGCGATTCTGCTGAAGTTGAGAGTAACTCAGTGATGACTTCTTCAACTTGCAGAGGTGATTCCTTGGAGGTACAGGGTAACTGAATATTCTTCGTGATTGTATATTCTTCTATACCGTTGATTGATATTCATCAATCAACGGTATAGAAGGCAGTTTAAGATTATTATCGATAAATTCTTGTATTTCTATAGGTAATTCTGTAGAAGCAAGGGATAACGGAATGTCCTCTTGAGTAAGATTTGACTGTGATCTCATAATGACAGTCTCTTGTGAATTTTCTAATATTTCCACTCTTCCAGTCTTCTTCTATTATACCACAAAGTGTATTACATTCGATGGAAAATGAAGAAGACCTTGGAAAATTGATGCAAAAACTGATGCACGAAATTTTAGCTGTAGTTCTTAGTAAAACAAACGATGGCTTTTATAAATTTGATACTAAAACAGGTATTTTAAAACAATTGTATGCAAAATCTGAATTCAGTGTTTGCAAAGAGAGATTTTTAACGAAAAAAGACGGATGTCCCTGCTGTACAAATATCTTTACGTCAAACAGCAATAAAACAATCCCTTGGTACTGGGCAGGGTTTCAGAAAATGTGACTGCGAATCTAAATGTACCACAAATAGGCGTGCTTGTCGCATAAACCAATTGCTACGTAATTCAAAGTGTCACCAATCTTTAGATTGCATTCGATCGAGCGTTTTCTGGTAGAGTGGACGTACATTGGCCGAAATGGAGAACGATCATTTCGATACTGATCTTATTTATTGATGAAATCTAAAAGAGACCGACCATTGTCAAATAAGTTTATAGATATTTTAAAATAATTAAAAAAGTTGGGTTTATTTTGTCTTAGTTTTGGATACAACGTCGCAAACATTCCATGTGTCAGTCTATCTCGTAATATTCAGTGCACCCAAAATTCTCTTTGCCTCTGCCATCGTCTTTTATAGCGACGATGGAGGAGGCACATGCAAGCAATTACTTTCACGTCCATTTCCAAAAACTGAACCAGTGCTAACGCCAAACTAACGCGCGTTTAACGCAACAGAAAACGCCTAATGTGTACAAACGCGCGTTTTTAAACGCACGTTTAACGCGCGTTTAAAAACATCTAGTGTGTACACAGCCTAAAACTTCCACTGTTACCACTTCTATTGTTACACATCTTCGAAGTCAACCACTTTCAACCCCATATCTCCCACTCCCTTATAGCACAGATTGCAAGAATTAGGTCCCCCGTTTCCAGACTAATTAGGGAATTTTTACGTCCAGTTGAACGAACTATTTTCAATTTGATCAATTTTCTGGAACGTTTACAATCGTTCTATAATCGAAACAATTCGAATTCGAATTAGAAAATTTTTAAAATCGAAATAGAAAATCTTCCACTTTTAACCACTTCAAGCCCATATCTCCCGCACCCTTATAGTTATCGAGATGCAACCACCATAGTGCACGAAAGGGGACTTGGGGCTATTACCTCATACAAACACCATTCATGTGCGATGTGTAGTTTTGGGTGAAAAGTGAAATATAGTGACATACANTGAAGGAATTTTTTTAAAAGTAATACAAAAAAGTAAGTCATTGATTAATTAATTATTAATAATTAAAAATGTAAAAAATAACACAGTCTTTTTATAATCAGTTCAAGTACTGAAAAAAATATATCAAGCAAATCTATGAAAAATATCAAGGATGGAATAAATATATTGACGTCACTGAAGCAAAGGTTATAATTCATAGTCACTTCATGCATGGTTTGTACTTCGAATTTCTTTTCGTTTGTACAATGTTCACTACTTTGAAAATATTCTGAATAATTTTTTATTAACAATATATTTACAACTACACTTCGAGCTAATTGAAAAACTCGAATAATGGAAAATAATTTATAAGAAGTGATACTTAAATTAAGTGCTTTTATCACATAATTTAAGCAAAAGTCACAAATATAACGAATGGTAGCAAACATCTAACAGTTAATGGTGATAAATTGGTCACAAATAAATTGTGAAAAGGAATTATTCATAGTAAATAATGCACTGAAACATTTTTGAAATTTAGTCAGAATAATGTAAATGATGCTTTTTTAAGTGTACTAAAACACGTCTAAAATTTAAATTACAGTATATCAATAACGAATCTTTCTGTTAATATCATAATTAAACTGTTTTCTATCCGGTTGAAACTTCAAGGTTTTATGAACACAAACAACTGACTAAACCTTTACACTTTAATATACTGTGTCAGGGTAACATGTACATTTGATAAATGATGCTTTAAACGCAGTATACAGAACATTTTTGATGAGACATATTCTTAATATAAAATGGAGAAACAGCAAAGTAATACATACGATTCAGCTGGCGTTTTCTCACGTTTGTTTTTTTGGTATGTAATATTATTTAATGTTTTTAATTATAAAAATTTTATGGTATCAATAATTACTAAATTCTTTGTGGCTGTAGTTTTGAGCTGTATTTTTGTATTTAATTTTCTATCATTTTCAAATGTGAAAATTCCAGCGTTCCTCTGTGCACGATATTGTGAAAGTTATCTATTTGTAAGTAATTTATATGTAGACCTACATAACAATCGCGCCGTCGTCTATTATATAGCATGAAAAACTTCTTTTTATCAAAAAGTGTTGAAGGAAGGACACACATTAGCATAATAAATACATAATTATTTTTTTATTTTAAACTAAGAATCCAGTGTTGCGACGTTGCCAAGAACTTCAACGAAAAATCCGAATATTCTTATAGTACACCCGCCATTATTAATTTTTTTCGCGTACTCCTAAACCACCAAGCGCCAACTTCAAGGGTTACGCATATTTAAGGTTAAAAGGCGCATACGTACACTATAGGTGATAGCTAAGTTTTACTTAGAAAAAATTGAAGTTAGTCAGAATAACAGTGTAAACTTCTTGGGCCATAATAGAGTACCCTTACTTTGAATCCTTATAAAACTAAATTATATACTAAAGGCATAATAAAAGTAATTGCGTTAGTAATCAATCAGAAAACGGATAAAGAATGACTTTCAGGAATGACTTCCTTATCAACATTATTCTATCTATTATACTGATAGAAATAATAAACTAATGTGGAACTAAAGTGGAGTGGATTTTTGAAAATATCATTGTTTAAACACGATAAATACGATTTGCTATGTGTTTAGATGATACGGAATCGATGGGTTGATTAGTAGATTGTAATATGGTACTTTCTTCATTTTTATTAGAAGGTAGGTCATGACAGATTTATTGGAGTGGGAGATGTTCTTGTTGTTCGTTTGGATTTCGTTTTATAGCTGTTTAAAATTTGCTTTTCCAAATATAGTCTAATAACGAATTACATAGAAGAGGATTATACAGATGAGTATAATACCACAACATCCAACGATGATCCAAATAATTGAAGGTGAATGGGAAGAACTCGATGAAGTAGGGTGATTTATTTGAAGTATAANACTGACCTTCCTTTTTAGGCTACTTGTCGCCGGAAAGTTTACAAAAAGTCTTTTTAAAAAACACAAAACATCCAATTAAAATTTTTAAAAATTTCTGAAAAAGGAACTGGTGACATACAGCTGTCTTGCTTACTTCCATCATACCGTTGGGGTTTCTTCTTCTTTTTATTTACGGAAGATTAGCGCTGGAAAATGTAGATTTTAGAGAAGTTGCCCCCTGGTGACGATATATGTAGAAATTTCTTCTGTAAAAAGCGCATTTTCCAGCGCTAATCTTCAGTAGATAAAAAGAAGAAGAAACCCCAACGTTATGATGGAAGTAAGCAAGACGGCTGTATGTCACCAGTTCCTTTTTCAGAAATTTTTAAAAATTTTAATTGGATGTTTTGTGTTTTTTAAAAAGACTTTTTGTAAATTTTCCGGCGACAAGTAGTCTAAAAAGGAAGGTCAGTCGCCGAAAATGTTTTAGTCTTGGAACACAAGTAATAAATGGTAATCCTTTTTGGACAGTTTTGTCTTGAATTTTATTTTATTAGAAATAATTTTCCATTGGACGAATTTTTACAGAAAAAATTTTAACTGTAATATCTTTATGATCCCCGGAATATTTACCACTAATCAAACCTACAGATTTTTTATTAATTAAATAAAACTGCAATGGATTTTTGTCTGTATTTCTCTCTGTCTTCACTAGATGGCGACACACGAATTAATACTTTCTGTCTATAAGAAAAGTCTATTATTAAAGTTTGCTATTCTATTTGAAGAACTCATTAAATATTAATCAGTTAATTAGCAAAATCTTTGAGGAATTAAAAAAGTAATGTTATCACGCTAGATGACAGTACGTGTACTTATGGTGGGTTTTCGAATTGTAACGCATTAATTTCTGCAGGTAATTGTACAAAATATTCGAAATAGTTATTGAATTTATCTCAAATGAATATTTTTCAGATTGTTGAAAAATAATGCTGAGAGCTGCGAGGCAAGATAATAATATTCTTATTCGGAGTTTCAAAATTACAACGGGGTTTTCACATACAAAGTGGATTATCCACAAATAATTAATGAACAATTAGTTCAAATTTTCAAAGTTCTCTGTGTACATAAGAGCGGGCGAGGCCGCGACAGGGAATGCTATTATATATATATATTGATATAGATATATAGATATAGATATAGATGTAAANTTATCAAAAAGTGTTGAAGGAAGGACACACATTAGCATAATAAATACATAATTATTTTTTTATTTTAAACTAAGAATCCAGTGTTGCGACGTTGCCAAGAACTTCAACGAAAAATCCGAATATTCTTATAGTACACCCGCCATTATTAATTTTTTTCGCGTACTCCTAAACCACCAAGCGCCAACTTCAAGGGTTACGCATATTTAAGGTTAAAAGGCGCATACGTACACTATAGGTGATAGCTAAGTTTTACTTAGAAAAAATTGAAGTTAGTCAGAATAACAGTGTAAACTTCTTGGGCCATAATAGAGTACCCTTACTTTGAATCCTTATAAAACTAAATTATATACTAAAGGCATAATAAAAGTAATTGCGTTAGTAATCAATCAGAAAACGGATAAAGAATGACTTTCAGGAATGACTTCCTTATCAACATTATTCTATCTATTATACTGATAGAAATAATAAACTAATGTGTAACTAAAGTGGAGTGGATTTTTAGAAATACGAGTATCATTGTTTAAAGACGATGAGTACGATTTGCTATGTGTCTAGATGATATGGAATCGATGGGTTGTTTAGTACATTTTAATATGGTACGTTCTTTATTTTTTTAGAAGGTTGGTCATGACAGATTTCTTAGAGAGGGAGATGTTCTTGTTATTCATTTGGATTTCGTTTTATAGCTCTTTAAAATTTGCTTTTCCAAATATAGTCTAATAACGAATTACATAGAAGAGGATTATACAGATGAGTATAATACCACAACATCCAACGATGATCCAAATAATTGAAGGTGAATGGGAAGAACTCGATGAAGTAGGGTGATTTATTTGAAGTATAAGATCTAAGTCATATTTTACTTGATCCTTTGATTTATCCGCTAATCTGATATCTATATCTTTTTCATCCATTGACTCTTTTTGTTGTATGGGATATATTAATTGTTTCTGAATGATTAGTAATTCCGTTTGATTTAAAATTTCTTCAATCAGTGATACTACGAATGATAAAGCTAGTTTTATATGAATAGTGGAACGCATTCGAAAATGGAAAGTGAGGATGAGTCCTGGTAGGCATCCTGTACATGCGTTAGGTAATATTATTACTGTAGTATAATTTAATTTGCTTATTGTTGAAGGTGCAGAAGGAGCGTTTAACATGTTACCTGGACATTTTATAGCCAGTATGATAGGCTTGGGTGTAGAACATATCCAAGTTCGTTGGTTGTCGATACTTTTAAAGATAGGAGCATAACTTTCGATTAGTTGTCTTATACAGAGTTCTTTGACTTTTTGATTATTCCCAATAAATAAGGAGTATTTACAAGTGGATTGAGAAGCCTTTTGTATCGGAACATTTAGTGAACATGCGGAAAATTGTGACAATTGACATTAGAGAATTGTTTATTGGCCGCACACAATGGTATAGCCTAAGAAACTTGAAAAGGAAAGAAGTATAAAAGTTTTAGGAAGGGTTAAGATTGAAGGTGAAAGAAAGAGAGGTAGGACAGAATGAAAGTTAAGATATACAATTTGACCTCATGGTCACTGCTACACTTTTTTACAATTTAAGAAAAAAGATATTTACAAAGAAAACGTTTGTACAAAATTTGAATACAGTATTTACACTGAAGAGTTACATGCTGAGTGTTGAGCTTTTAAATATTGTAGCTATACAGTATAATAATGGTTCAATAAAATTAGCAGATACAAAAATATTATAAATTTAAATCATCGGTTACAAATATAAACTTGTACATGTAATTGTTAAATTATAATGTAGCTGTACATTTTTGGAAAATATGTAATAACATGCTATGAATACATATGGGAATGATTTACGCAGTTAACAAATAAGAAGTTATTGCTTAGAGATAGACTTACAAATTGTGAATTTATACAATATATTAAAGTGTACCGTAAACTTATAATAACAAAGACGACATATGTATCGTATTAGAGATACAGAAATTACAAAATTAATATTCGTGCAGAAATTAAATACTTTGTCGGTGAAAGCGAACACTTTAAAATTAATCGAGGAATTTTATGCTGGCAGTGAAGTTTCTTAGTGCATTAAATAGCTTTTTGTTGCTCGTTAGAGTTTTTAATGGGCAAGGCCACAGTTCATTTGATGTATGCACAGAGTCTATTAACATTTTTCTTTGCCTACTGTAGTGTGGACAGTGATACAAAACATGCTCCGGGTTATCTTCTTGATTCGTTTGACAGGTACAAAGTCCGTCTGTCTTATGTAGAAACCTTTTAAGGTAACTCCTGAAGTTTCCGTGACCAGACATCATTTGGGTTATTTGAAAAGTTGGTGTTATAAACTTGCTACTGTTTCTGAGTTGGACATTCGGTATAAAACGATAGGTTAGTCTACCTGTGGTACTATTTGCCCACCTGTTTTGCCAACTGTTCCAAGTACTGTCACGTAGTTGCTTCTTAAGCCAAGATGGAGTGAAATCGTAGGACAATCTTGTGGTCCTGATGGGGGCTGAGCGGGCTAGTTGGTCTGCTTTCTCATTACCTTGTATATTTGAATGTCCTTTGACCCAATTGAAGGTAAACTGTATAATGTTCCGGTAGGCTTTAATAAGTTGTACACTGTCGTAAACAATCGGCAGCTTTATGTTTATGTTTTTTAGTTGCAGAAGCGCAACTGTACTGTCACTTAATATGTTTGCTTTGGAAATATTATAGTCCTCTGGTTGTCGGTTAT